CCTTATTTTAGCTGAAAAAAATAATTTTTAATGTTAAAAAAAACTGCATTTCTGTATCATAACAATAGAATTTCTCTTAATTAAACTTTTAATTCTAGAATTTTGAATTGATAAAACTTAATCGCTAGTGCAAACACATGCAACACACATGAGATATTTTATTATTAAATATAGCGAAGTAATAATTGAAAGTAAAGTTTAATCATTATTATATACATTTTTTTAAAACTCGTTATTCATTCAAAAATCACAGTAAATTGCTTCATATTATCTTTATTATTATAATTATTTTTATGTAATTAGAGAGCAAGGACAGGATTGATCTTAGAGAAGTGGTCTTAGTTCATAACAAGGATTGTATAGTTATGCGGATTGTGCAAATCTTGGTCATTTCCTGTTATTTTCCTGTCCTATAATAATAAAAATGACTCGGAACCTGATTAATCTGGTTCAGTTCAGTGGGTATCTCGAATGAAGAAGATTCCTCTTCCCCTCGTACTGTAATTACAGTCTACTACATTAAGTATCAAGACAAATAAAAGCCTTCATTACTTTAGAAAGGTACTTCTTTCGATCGCAAACAATTTGCTAAATAATTTCTAAGAAACTAAATTAATTAATTCGGTTTATAAAAGTGTTCTTGAATTACGTAAGAGCGGCCATTTTCTAATAGAACATCTCTTTATTATTAATATTGCATAAGATTTGGATGTTCTTAATGAAAGTAATATCCGAAACTCTGCTTTGTTAATTGAGTTGTAAATTGCTTTTACAATTAAATTAATCTAAGAAATATCTTTTATTTATTTTCTATTTTATTTAATCTATAATATAATATATCATAATTTATATTTTCATTATAATTTCTTTAACTTCCTCTTACTTATCCTCATCAATTTGTATCATTGTTATATTTTCAAAATCCGTGATGTATATCATAAATTAAATAATTTCTGTAGTAAATTTATATTATTTTTCTCAATTCTCATTATTTAATTTAGTATATTTACAGTTTTAAGTAGTTAAATTCTTGTTTCTTTTCAATATATATAAACTTATCCCATTTGTTTTCTTTGGAAAGTTAACAGAAGATTCAAAACGGAGCACAGAGATAGAAAATACATTTAGTACATGCACATGCCTATAAAGGACATGTCAAGTTATTTTTAAATTTGTTTTAATTAAGTGCTAAAGAACGAACAGCTTTGTACATTCTAATTAATCTTCTGATACGTTACTTCTTTCTAGATTTAATTTTATAAATTTTCTAGCAGTTTTTTTCGGGAATATTTGAAAGAAATATTTGGCCTATTTAAATTTATTTTATAAATTACAAAAAGNTTATTCATAAGAATTTCTTTTTTATTTGAAATTATTTACAAGAAATTCGATACAAATTTACATTTTTAAGAATTATAAAATAAAAATATGAAGTTTAATTAAATTGAAATTAATTTTTGTTTTTTTTTCTGTATAACTCGTGTTAGATATTTACTTGTATGGTCGTTAAATGAATACAAAAGGCTCCAATCTAACTGTATAAAAAGAGAAAGAGATGCAAACACTCGCTAAAAATATAATCATTTTGTTCACAATATAAATTTAATTAATTTTTTTTTAAGTTAGAGAGAATCGTACCGACGTGTTAATTAAATATTTATGTAAACTTTAAGATCATAAATTTTTATATATATATATAAATAAGTCTCAGCGACGTAAAAAAAAAAAGTAAATTTTTTGAAGAAATAAAGCATCGTAATTTTATCTTTGAACGTCAAAGAAACGGAAAAGGGAAACAAAATGGAATATATAAAAGTATTAAGAATAGGAAATGAAATGTTAGATCACTAACGAAAAATCAGGATAAACTTTTACAAGAGCTGAATAAACACAATATGGATATCTATAGGATATAGGAAATGAAAAAGGACAGTTTTTTATTACCTAAAGCTATATTCTTCTTAACAAGATACGAGTTATAACGATAAAAGAATCGAAATATCTCTCGTAATATATTAAGTGAATAACTTGATAAAATATATACCTATATATATATATATATTTGCTATCGAATAAATAATTCGGATTTAATTAGAATAATAAATGTAATTCAATTATATATTTATTTAATTATTATTAAAAATTAAACTATAATTATATAAATAGTAATTCTGATTTTAATAAAATGTATTATAAGTATTGATAATTTTATATTTAAATTAAGAGAGAAATTAATTACTCTTCATATCTATAGATGCTTCGTGGTCTATAGTATTTATACACACGTAAATTACTGCTTTATCTTTAATTAATCGTTGATATTTATATACTAATGATGATTATCTATAGAATATGATACTATTTACTGATCTTCCTTCATTAGTTTTTTAATCTTGATTATGTTTTGCTTCCTGATCCTGGTTATCCTTTATAAATTCCAAGGCTCTGATCTCATTCTGTATTCGTAATATAAAAAAATTGTCAAATTGATATCAAAATAATATATTGAGATGTCGTAACTATATAAATAAAGAATAATTAATCAAAAATAAAATAAGAATTAACTATAGGCCTATAGTAAAATTATAGAAGTTAAGATGCTTATGAAGAAAAGTGCTTAGAATAGAAAATTTAAAAGGTTTTAATAGTCTATATATGAGTAATTGAATGTTTAGGGCCTAAATATGTCAAAATTGATAAGAAATTCAAGGGCCTATATTAAATAAATTTACAAATAGGCATACTTTATTGTAGATTCTGTTCCTATAAGGCTATGACGTTCATTGCAAGTGACAATTGTATATAGGCCTATATCAGAGTAAAATTATTGAAGAAAAATTAATAATAATACAAAGACAGGAATATCCATAGAATTAAATACATTTTATAAATATAAATTGTTATATAAATTATCAAAAACTCCTCTAAATTTGTAAGTTTATTCAAGTAATTAACAGGGTTGTATAAGAGAAAAATAAAGCTTAATTAGTTAGATAACATTCCTAGAGATAATAATTATTAAAAATTTAAAATTTTTTAAAGTTATTTTCTCATTGTTGCAATAAAATTCTGTATATAAGATGGGAAAATTTTAAAATCAAACAGTAAAAATATCCTGCAGGCTATAGAATATGCACGTATTCGACTTTGTACTCATGGCTTTACATATAGCCTATATATGAAGGGGTTAACAAATATATATATATATATATTATGAATATATTTTATTCTGATAGAAGTTCATATAAATATAATAATAAACGTTAAAAAAATATATTAAAAAACGAAAACCAAAAGGAATAAATAGGAAAAAGTGTTCCTTAGATTTCTGCCGCATCTCGAAGAAATATTATTAAAATTCAAAACTTAGAAAACAATAAAGGATCAAGAATACAATTTACATGTTATAAATCTATAATGCATTATTATAATTTCGAATTTTTTTTATTGTTTTCATAAGGCGTATAGTTTAAACTGTTATAAAAATATTCAATAAAATAAAATGAATTTATAAATTCTAGTTAAGAGTATAATAATTAAATGAATTTGCTGCCCAAGTTGAGAGTAGAATCACAATTCAAGTTAAAGGAGAATCGAGTGAATTTGCAATCAAGTTAAAGGCATAGTAAATGCAATTTGCAGTGCAAAAATATAATAATCGAGTGAATTTACAATAGAAGTTGTGGATATAAAAACGAAATAAAATAAAGAGAAAAATCGTTAGTAGAAGCAAGAAAGAAGAGGGTGGTTTCGAGTGTCAAAAGAATGCAGAATTCTGCTTGAACATCAAATTTTCTAGAATTCTGTATTAGAAGATGTAAGAAGTTGGAAAAATATTATAGAGATTAGCAAAATTGAAAGGCGCTCTTCACTAGACATAACGATAAACGAGCGTTCAAGAAATAATCATTATATATACATATATATACAAAAGCAATTAGGTTAGTTTTATATAATTATGGGAGCGAAGAAGAAGCACGTGATGCGAATTGCTCGACAATGGATTCTTTGGCAGTAATTAATGAGCGCCTCGGCTATCAAACCCAATAAGATGTCTCGACGTCACAGGGACGAGTGTCTTCCATTGGCTGCCGTCGACGGGAGGCACCACCTGATCGGCGGAGACGTCCTCCACTATTTACCAAACAAACCGCCATGTAGGCTGAGTGACACGGCAGCTGACTCCAACGCTAACTAGACCTAATTAGGCTTGTTGCTTACTTTGTGTCGCACCGCTGCCTGGCGGGAAGTCCGTAATTATAGTCGCAGCCATATTTAGTTCCCCCATTTATCTCTTCGAACGTATTTAAGACTTAATTCCATAGCACGAATGTCACCACCCCCGAATAAACAGATGCGGGGATAGGAATTCACTCTCCGATAACAAAAATGTATACATAAGCGAAGAAGGGAACCCCGGGGTGAAGAGTAGGGAAAAAGTTTTCTAAAATAACACCCACGTCCTGTTGGCGACTCGTTCACCAATGGACGAAAAACTGGTCCTCTAATCTCCTGGATAAATAGAAGGGGATGAAGATATTTCAAGTTTACAAAGAAGGAGCCTTAGCTTACTTCCTCTACAGTAAACCTTCTCTCGGTTGTTCCCAAACCCGATACCGACGGGGGTTAGAAGCCTAGTCCTATTGGGATAATTAGAGTCTTTCTGTGTTGTAAATGGTGCCCCTGTCACTTAGTATAAGCTGAGGGTTGTCAGTGATCCGTGAGTGTTAAGTTAGGGTGGGAACCGTCCCCCTGTTTAAGCGGGAATGGTGTGAGTGGGACTAGTCTATTGTATAGTCTTTTAGAGGGGGGAAGAGATTAGGCACGTAATGAACTGGTCCAAAACTCAAAGTAAACACGGAGTGTATGAGAGCGAAGGGGGGATCCGTCGTCTCCCCCGCATTGCTCTTCCACGCAACACGCGTTAGCACCGAAATTAGGTGGGAACGGCCGAGTCTATCGGGATAGCAGCCAATCGGACGGCGGCGCCAACCGGCAAACATTTCATTAAAGGTGCTCCGTGTCTGGTCTGGTCGCTAATTGCGTTAACGGGATATTTGCCCATAGAACAGACGTCCCCAGTTGGACCAGTGCGGTAGTGGGGGCGTTGTAAGCGGGACGAATCCCGACCTGCGCACATACCGAGCAGTCTAACTCCTCGGGACCGCGACACGTGCGAGTCTCGAACCCTCGGACAGCGGACAGATGAGAGAAGAAAATTGCCAACCGATGGAGAGACAGTCTACAGAACGTGCTCCAGCTAAGGTCTCGTTGTACAGCATAGAGAGGCTGCTCAATCCCAGCAAAGAGTGCTACCGCAGAGATTCTCCTTCTACTACCACCCCCAAGTCGTCACTCGCTCAACTCCCCGACGTTTTAGACTTTAGTGTGCACAATAGAAGTGGTAAGTAGACCCTCTTGACTGCCATCGAATCCACTCGGATCCTTGGCATCTAGTAAATTCTAAACAACGTTTTTCCTTTGTCACATCACTTCTCTTCTACTCTTCCTCTTAACTCTAGACTAAAATCTTCATTTCGGACTATTACTGATTATTCGTGAGTAGTTTCTATACTTATAAAACATAAATCTAATCTTTCCTAGCCTTTAAATGTAGTCTATCATCGCAAACTCCGATCCAATTAAATTAAGTGGATACGAAACAAATTAATCGAGATTAATACGTACAAACAAACGAAATAATTGTATAAAATAGTTAAAATTAACACATATTCCTCTCCAAAAATACAGCTATAGATTATTATTATTATTATTTCATAAGAACAAAGCTTAATTATTTCACGTAACATGTATTTTAACGTAGAGAACCTTAAAGGCAGATGGCTACATTTATACTTTTAATCCTAAACAGATGTTTTATTTATTAAAATATAGTTACTTTTAAATAATCTTTTTTAATCTGACAAATTCTAAATTACGATCTATTGAAAAGAATATAACAATTATTATTTTTAACACAACTTTGTGTTAAATGTCGGGATGATTACTACTTTCCGGATCATTTATTGTTCGCATCATACATTTTCCCAGCTCATATTCTGTAATTTATACTTTTATAACAAAATAAATAAAATATTTCTCATCTTATCAGTTTAAATATTTAATTTTTCGTGTTAAAATTTGAAAATTTCCTTCTATTTTAGCGGCACTAACAGTATAAATCCCTTCATCCTACTTCACGTAGTTTCTCCGTGTTAAAGTTTGTATACATTTTAATGGAATTAACAGCAAATAACTCCTTATTTTAGCTGAAAAAAATAATTTTTAATGTTAAAAAAAACTGCATTTCTGTATCATAACAATAGAATTTCTCTTAATTAAACTTTTAATTCTAGAATTTTGAATTGATAAAACTTAATCGCTAGTGCAAACACATGCAACACACATGAGATATTTTATTATTAAATATAGCGAAGTAATAATTGAAAGTAAAGTTTAATCATTATTATATACATTTTTTTAAAACTCGTTATTCATTCAAAAATCACAGTAAATTGCTTCATATTATCTTTATTATTATAATTATTTTTATGTAATTAGAGAGCAAGGACAGGATTGATCTTAGAGAAGTGGTCTTAGTTCATAACAAGGATTGTATAGTTATGCGGATTGTGCAAATCTTGGTCATTTCCTGTTATTTTCCTGTCCTATAATAATAAAAATGACTCGGAACCTGATTAATCTGGTTCAGTTCAGTGGGTATCTCGAATGAAGAAGATTCCTCTTCCCCTCGTACTGTAATTACAGTCTACTACATTAAGTATCAAGACAAATAAAAGCCTTCATTACTTTAGAAAGGTACTTCTTTCGATCGCAAACAATTTGCTAAATAATTTCTAAGAAACTAAATTAATTAATTCGGTTTATAAAAGTGTTCTTGAATTACGTAAGAGCGGCCATTTTCTAATAGAACATCTCTTTATTATTAATATTGCATAAGATTTGGATGTTCTTAATGAAAGTAATATCCGAAACTCTGCTTTGTTAATTGAGTTGTAAATTGCTTTTACAATTAAATTAATCTAAGAAATATCTTTTATTTATTTTCTATTTTATTTAATCTATAATATAATATATCATAATTTATATTTTCATTATAATTTCTTTAACTTCCTCTTACTTATCCTCATCAATTTGTATCATTGTTATATTTTCAAAATCCGTGATGTATATCATAAATTAAATAATTTCTGTAGTAAATTTATATTATTTTTCTCAATTCTCATTATTTAATTTAGTATATTTACAGTTTTAAGTAGTTAAATTCTTGTTTCTTTTCAATATATATAAACTTATCCCATTTGTTTTCTTTGGAAAGTTAACAGAAGATTCAAAACGGAGCACAGAGATAGAAAATACATTTAGTACATGCACATGCCTATAAAGGACATGTCAAGTTATTTTTAAATTTGTTTTAATTAAGTGCTAAAGAACGAACAGCTTTGTACATTCTAATTAATCTTCTGATACGTTACTTCTTTCTAGATTTAATTTTATAAATTTTCTAGCAGTTTTTTTCGGGAATATTTGAAAGAAATATTTGGCCTATTTAAATTTATTTTATAAATTACAAAAAGTATTATTAATTTTTTACTCTATTAACATAATAATTGTAAAAGTATAATGTTTAATGCGCGTTATATACAGTTCTATATACGTTTCACTTATTTTCCTATTATAAATATTTGCTGTAAATCTAATTGTGTTGATACTAATAATATCTCTATGTTTTCTTTTACTTTATAAAACTCTATATTTATTCTTTCATTAAGAATTTTTAATTTTATAAGATTTAAAATTCATTTCGTAAGACATTTTTATATATAAAACAGTTAAGAATGGATGCAGAAGCGGCGTGATGTTCGTGCTTTTTAATCAAATTTTAAGTAATAATTAATGTTTTTTTCCGTTTAAAAATTAATAAAATAAGTAAAACATTTTAAAAAACTCTTTTATATAAAAAATATTTAGGTATATTTATTACTAACATTAACAAATCGCATTTCATAGTTGCATAGGATAAATTTAGTTACTTTTAACGGATAATTGTACAGAATTATATGAAAAATTACTATTTAAATTAGAAATTTTGCAGTACTTTATAAATATCTGATAAGCACAAATATAGTTCTTGTATTTTTTCCCCCCTGTACACTTTAACCAAGAATTCACTATAGAATATTATAATTATCTAAAATATAAATTAATTTATCAGTTAGTTTAGCTTATAAGAACTATAATAAGTTTAAGAGAGGTTTATTTTTTGTATAAAAATTCTCTGAACTATTTGTATTATTCAATAATTATTGTCTATTTTCTCATATCCGAATGCGCTTAATTCAATGAAAGAAGACTTTCTTTAGGACAATTTTCTAAGAAATTTTTATTTTATTTTTTGATTAATTATCTGCAAAATTATATTATCTACATTATTAATTAATTAGTCTTTTAAATAAAAAAATATATTTAATTTTATATTAGAAAAGACTAGTTTCTTGTACAATCAGCATCTTTAATTTCTTGAAATTTCAAAAATATTTTATACATTTACAAAAGAAAAAAATGTATTAACATTGTATAAAATTAATCAAAATTCTATATTTTTCATTAAAAAAAATGAATAAATTAGTGAAATTTCCGTGTTTAAGTACAGTACGTGTTTATTAATTTAATATAAATGTTAACATATTGTACGAGTATAAAATTATACAGGCTTAATTTTAATTTAAAATATATAAATATACAGTATAATTTTTATTATTTAAAATAGATTTTGACACGTTTACAAAAATAAAATCCATGGGAGAAGAAAAAAAAAAAAAAACGAAGTGAAATGTATATATCTAAGTAAATTTTAGATGCCATTTTGTGGATATTTTAGTTGCTGAAAAAGCAATTTCGTTCGAGAGAAAAACCATTAGTCAGATTTTAATAAATACCGTCTTCTGGTCCTAACAAAAAAAATAAAATAAAAAAAATAGGGGGAGAAAAAAATCTAGAAGACAACAGAAACTCTGTTTGGATTGCCTGGCGGTGATAACAGAATGAACGATCGTAATTACTAAGCATCTGTGACGTAAGCGCGCACTACCCCTATTGATATTACAAAGTGAAAAATTGGGAAAGAAGGAAATAAAATAAAAATTAAAAATAAAAATAATAATAATAATAAAAAAAAGATTTTATTTTATTACTTGGATAATTTGAGACGAGTCAAACCATCAGCAATGTTGGACGTGCTAATGAGTAACTGGAAATGACACAGTCGCCTAACTGAAATTATTACTGGATAATTTGTTAGAGAGTCAGTTTTTGAAGCTCACTCGAAAGTAGATTTTGACGTTCATATTGAGAGATGAATGGGGACTGAGTAACATTACTAAAAGTTTTTAATTAACGGTGTTTCCGGAGTAATTTTGAAGTGAAATATAGGATTCCTCTTCGATTGGATACAACATTTCCCTCCCTTCTAAAACAGTTTTCGGGGAAAATAACGAAATTATCAAAACTTTTCGTTAGAATATGTTATTTAATAAATAAAATATTAAAAAAAAACATTCGTTTTATAATTATAAAATATTAATTGAACTTATATTTACGCAGGAAATGACGTTACGGCCTTTCAAGTGAATAGAAATACAGGAAGTGGTAAAGGATCTTCTGATGTTAAGTCTATAGAAAACGTAGGAAAAAAAGTATCTCAGGAAGAATCGAAACCTGAAACTAACTCGGAAGAAGGTGGAATTCGTGACAACGAAGATAAACCGAGAAAAATTCGACGTAGCAGAACTACATTTACTACATACCAATTGCATCAACTAGAAAGAGCATTCGAAAAAACACAATACCCCGAGATCTTAGAGAAGTGGTCTTAGTTCATAACAAGGATTGTANCAATTATCCGACCAACCCCAGTCCCCAATTAGGGCGGATAATCGAGGTTCTACTGTAATTATATTGATTTGTATTATAATAAACAATTATGATCAATATAAAGATCTTGAAATAAATAGAATACTTTTATTTTTCCTAAATCAAGTACTTTTTTTTTTAAATCAAAAATCAATAATAAACAATCTTTAAAGCAAATATTGAATACTTGCATATGCAGTAAATAATTAAAAAAATACAGTTTACTGAAATTCTAAGGTATATATTATTTTGCTTAACTTTATTTTATAACCTTTTAAGTATTGTTACAGTTCTGTTTCAAAATATATTTTCAAATAATAAGTACTGTACATCCTTAGATTATTAGCTGTTGTAAAGAAGAAATTATTTTTAAATAGAAATGTGGTTTAGAAGTATTTATTTTTTGCTGCAAAAATAATATAACTAAAGTGAATTTTTGATTATATTAAATGAAAAAAGCAACATTTTTAGCTATTATTTTTGTTTTTTTTTTATATCCTTATTCCTTCTTATCTCTTCTTATACCGGATACTGTTTCTTTTATTTGATATTTTCTTCCTGACCATTTTCTTTAAGCTCCTCCTGTTCAATTTTTGGTGATTCATACCAGACATCAAACATTTCCAGGATGATGCAGATAGCTTAAAGAAGATCAATTTTTTTTCCTCTTTTTTTTAAATAGTTGTTTATCGTTCAAATCTAATAAAATTTTAAAATAGCGAAATATGTTTCCTTTATTATTTTATAATTAGAAAACTGTGATAAAGCTATTAACTAAATAGCTAATAATGCACGAATCCGTCTTCGTTCGTATAACTCAATTAAAGTAATGCCGAACTGTCATAATAAATTTTCTCTATATTTTAATGGTAAAGAATGAATTTTGATTAATAAATCACCACAATTCATAGACTTTATCTTTTTACTAATTATTCTATCTTCTGTTGAAGTAAATAATTATTAAATAATTTTTATCTACTCGCAATTATATCTAGATGGGATGTTGGCCTAATCCTTCCAATTGAGTTGATGTTGGATTTATTTCTCTTGATTTATCAATTTACTATCACTTTTAATAGATTTTTATGTTTATTTACTGTTTATACGACTATTTTTTTAAACTACAGATAAAAAAAATCGCATTTCATAGTTGCATAGGATAAATTTAGTTACTTTTAACGGATAATTGTACAGAATTATATGAAAAATTACTATTTAAATTAGAAATTTTGCAGTACTTTATAAATATCTGATAAGCACAAATATAGTTCTTGTATTTTTTCCCCCCTGTACACTTTAACCAAGAATTCACTATAGAATATTATAATTATCTAAAATATAAATTAATTTATCAGTTAGTTTAGCTTATAAGAACTATAATAAGTTCAAGAGAGGTTTATTTTTTGTATAAAAATTCTCTGAACTATTTGTATTATTCAATAATTATTGTCTATTTTCTCATATCCGAATGCGCTTAGTTCAATGAAAGAAGACTTTCTTTAGGACAATTTTCTAAGAAATTTTTATTTTATTTTTTGATTAATTATCTGCAAAATTATATTATCTACATTATTAATTAATTAGTCTTTTAAATAAAAAAATATATTTAATTTTATATTAGAAAAGACTAGTTTCTTGTACAATCAGCATCTTTAATTTCTTGAAATTTCAAAAATATTTTATACATTTACAAAAGAAAAAAATGTATTAACATTGTATAAAATTAATCAAAATTCTATATTTTTCATTAAAAAAAATGAATAAATTAGTGAAATTTCCGTGTTTAAGTACAGTACGTGTTTATTAATTTAATATAAATGTTAACATATTGTACGAGTATAAAATTATACAGGCTTAATTTTAATTTAAAATATATAAATATACAGTATAATTTTTATTATTTAAAATAGATTTTGACACGTTTACAAAAATAAAATCCATGGGAGAAGAAAAAAAAAAAAAAACGAAGTGAAATGTATATATCTAAGTAAATTTTAGATGCCATTTTGTGGATATTTTAGTTGCTGAAAAAGCAATTTCGTTCGAGAGAAAAACCATTAGTCAGATTTTAATAAATACCGTCTTCTGGTCCTAACAAAAAAAATAAAATAAAAAAAATAGGGGGAGAAAAAAATCTAGAAGACAACAGAAACTCTGTTTGGATTGCCTGGCGGTGATAACAGAATGAACGATCGTAATTACTAAGCATCTGTGACGTAAGCGCACACTACCCCTATTGATATTACAAAGTGAAAAATTGGGAAAGAAGGAAATAAAATAAAAATTAAAAATAAAAATAATAATAATAATAAAAAAAAGATTTTATTTTATTACTTGGATAATTTGAGACGAGTCAAACCATCAGCAATGTTGGACGTGCTAATGAGTAACTGGAAATGACACAGTCGCCTAACTGAAATTATTACTGGATAATTTGTTAGAGAGTCAGTTTTTGAAGCTCACTCGAAAGTAGATTTTGACGTTCATATTGAGAGATGAATGGGGACTGAGTAACATTACTAAAAGTTTTTAATTAACGGTGTTTCCGGAGTAATTTTGAAGTGAAATATAGGATTCCTCTTCGATTGGATACAACATTTCCCTCCCTTCTAAAACAGTTTTCGGGAAAATAACGAAATTATCAAAACTTTTCGTTAGAATATGTTATTTAATAAATAAAATATTAAAAAAAAACATTCGTTTTATAATTATAAAATATTAATTGAACTTATATTTACGCAGGAAATGACGTTACGGCCTTTCAAGTGAATAGAAATACAGGAAGTGGTAAAGGATCTTCTGATGTTAAGTCTATAGAAAACGTAGGAAAAAAAGTATCTCAGGAAGAATCGAAACCTGAAACTAACTCGGAAGAAGGTGGAATTCGTGACAACGAAGATAAACCGAGNCAGCAAGTACAAATTAACTTTTGCTTTATTTATAGTTTTATAATGAGCTGTAGAATTTTTTTTTTTTATTCTTTTAAAAGAAATTTTACTTAAATTTTTAATGATTTATTAAATAAATAAATAAAATAATTCATTATAAAACTTTAAAAAAAAATTATTTTCCACCTTTTTTTCAATGATGTAAAATTGTTCGAAATGTAAAGAATTCAAATTTTATGATATCCTGCTGTTATCGATTCGGGAGAATTTCAGTTTTTTTTTTCTTTTAGAACATAAAAATGTAGTTTATTCTACGAAATAATTTTAACTTCTTTTTGATATAAAGCTATATATAAAATAATATTTTTTTTTCTTTTTATTTTTTCTGAAAGATGCGACTCGATTCATTCGAACTGTTTAGCATTTAAATTAAAGAATAAACTTGGGTATTGTTGGCCCTATATCGTTATAGGATTAGATTCTTAAAGTATATCGATCTGTATAGCGAGAAGAGAGAGAGAGAAAATGGAATTTATCAAATGCAAATGGAGCTCGAACTTAATTGATAAATCCCATTTAGAATGCATAGTGCAACTGATTCTTGTAGTTTTATAGATTTATTTTAATGTTTATATCTTTAAATTTTAATTTAGTAAATTTTTAATAGGTTATTTTAATTTTTTTCTTAAATATTTTGCTTCAATATTGGCTTTTTTTTCAGAAAGTAATTAATATAAGCTAGGGTAAGATCGAGAAATCCACAGTAACTAAAGATTAAAAGAAGATAGATCTTTAAAAAAAGAATGTTTATTATACTTCAAAATTCTGGCTTCTTAAGTGTATTTAAAGTTAATTTATACGGCGAAGATAAATTCTTTTTTCTAATTTTAAAGATAAATCTAAATGGATAATACTTGATTTAAATGTATTATCTTTAGATTTTATGAAATTTTTTGGGTAATTAGACTGGCAAATCGGCTCTTTCGATCAGTCGATATAGAAAATTTTAATTTATTTTTAAGGTAGATATTACATTATTACGTGAATAAAATTATAGGATAAAATAAAATTTGCTCAACTTTAGTTCAAAGTCTACAGTTGATAACAGTTTAATCCGAACCTTTTAATTCGCGTAGCGATCTTTTCCTACCCCCAGGCAAAGTAATGGAGGCAGAATCAATTACTTTATCGCTCAATTCACGGAAATTGTATCCATCAAATACCTAGCAATTTGCTACCCGCTCGAGAAGCACACTTTAGGACAAGAGAAGCCATTAGTCTCTTATTCACGTTATACATTGCCTACTGCATGCATCTATTACTTTATGGAAAGAATGAATCCATCCAAAAATGAATTATATAGAATTTTCCATCCCTCCCTATTCTCTCCTTTAATTACGAAAAAATTACATTTGAATATGATACTCCTTAAGTGGTTAATAGTGTGTTAATCGGATAGATCTACAATTATAAGAACGGAAGGAACAAATTAAAAGATAAATTTCTCTATATTCTAGTAAATTTATACAAATTTTCTCCATTTCAGATTGAATTATTATTGATTTTCTTGTATTGCTTTCGAAATTATTTAATAATGGATGCTAGAAAATGAATTTTAATTAGTAAAATTAGTTGAAAAATCTTCTTCTGATCTTCATGATCTTAAGTATAATTAATAAATATTCTTCGAATGTTTTCAGGATTTTGTAAACGGTTGTTACAAACAATATCAAATATCAAAATTTTTTGTTATGTCTTATCTTTCAGATATGAATAATATGTTCAGGAGCTACCTAGAAATATATATATATAATATAGCACTTCAAATATCCCCGAAGCTTCCTGAATACGTTATTTTATGTCCCTATATCACATAAAGATATATAGAGTCGCATAAGTTGTGGTATCTTAAAAGCACCTCTTAAGATTCTCCAACATCATCTATAAATATACAATATTAAATATATTGTCTATTTAAATTAAATATTAAGTACCTAGAGAAGTAAATACCCTTTAAAAATCCTCATATATGCAATTTATTGTCTGGAATTCATAGGAAATTAGAATTTCTGAATATATATTTAAGCGTACAATACTTTTAAACACTCTTAAATAAATTGTGTGTAACTGAATCTATTGTCTATACATTGAAATAAATTATTTTTAATTTCGAAATAAATAAAAAATAAAATAAAATAAATAAATCTCAGATTTTATTTTCCAATTCTCGCATCATTTGTTACTTTCTCTAGCAATTTAAGAGTAAATGGGGTGAAGTCGCCTATAGTAATTTTATTTGAAACAATCAATTTTACAAAAATGAATATGGATTATTCTATATAAACTAAAATAAATATTATTTTTTGTTATGTTTAGATGTTCAAAATTGGAAATGTAAATTAATTAATTTATTTACTTCTTTTTATCTAAAAATTATTTGTTTTTACTCCCCTTTTCAATGCTTTTGTGTATTTTTCTTTTTGCTAAAATTAACGATATTTAATGCTTATTTTAACCTTACACTCAGTTAAAAATGATTAGATAAAGCTATAAAATTTTAGTAATTAAACAAATATTGTTTAACTCTATATTCTAAGTATTACTGACTAGGAAAAACATCAACTAATTCAAAAAATTTGGCTATAAATTAAACTATTCGCCGTTCTTATCTATATAAAAAGGTATGTTAAGCAGAGTTACTCAATCTGTAGTCCACATCTGTGATTCTCGACAATGGGACAAGTGTCCGCAGGCAGACTTTAATTGATAAAAATTAAAACTTTGTTGAATGAGATTCACTTTTAATAATTTATTTCCGATTTAATTAATTATTTCCATATGTATTCAAACATACTTTTAGATTTATTATGTTATAAATAATACAATGTGTCCTAAATGTTCGTAATACCCACATAGGATTAAAAAGTAATTAGGCCTACATAATTTACAGTTTTTTTCGGACATTTTACTTGTCCTTGAGCTTATAAAGTTTGAGAAACACTGTTAATTAACTATAATTGTCTCCATTTCAATCCAGAGGCCTACGAAACGAGAGTTTCTAGCAGAAACTATTCATCTTATTTTCTTTAATAACTTAAATATTATATTCTATATTGAAATTTTGATGTTATATTTTTATAATTTACCAATATTCAAATAAAAATTTAAATTAAAAATGCTTTAAAATAGCATAACATTTATAGAATCGCTAACAAAAGTGAGATAAGGAACCGTTCTTCATCTAGAATTTGCATTCATAGGAATATTTTTACAATATAAAATAATATCTATTTTATTTATTATTATTTTCAGGACAAATTAAAATTAATTATTTGGCAAAAATATCGAATTAAAATATTGATTTTTAGTTATATTTCTGTAGTAAATAAGTATATATCGTAAGCGTGTAGGCCTATATAATGTATAGACTTTTTTAATATTAAAAAAAAAACCTTAAATTTTATTATATCGTTAGGATTATTTATAAAAAATTAAAGCAGAGATCGTTTTATGTATCGTTACTTTATTAATTTTAGTTATGTATTTGTATAGATCCTAAAGAATCAATACGATTTCTTGTACAGTACTGTACAGTTATATAATAATCGGCAATGGAAACAAAGTTAACGAAATGGGATTTATATAGGAAGCATGTAAAAGGTGTAATTTATTGAGTTAGTTTGTATGTCTGAGCGAAAAACTTTTAGGAAAACTCGCAAAATTTATTTATTTTATATTAATTAAATTATGTAAAATATTAAAAATTTTTATTTAAAGTTTTATCTGCTTCTGTCAACAGCTGGAAATTTATTACAATATTGGAATTTTCTCACTAATTCTGCATGTATAAAATTACTAATTTAGGAATTTAATTCGATTTTCTTATTTAACGTAAAGCATGATATAACCTTTAGTTATTTAAATTATATTATTAAAAATTATTAAAGTTTATAAAGGTTACTGATAGTATTAAATCTATAGACATTAATTAAGATTAAAAGATTTTTTTTTAAAAGATAGGACAATTTATACTTGCTGAATACTTATAAAAGAAAGGAAAAGATTTTTTAGCTTCATTCTCTTCCTTTAAAATAAATATAAGAGAAGGACAGAATTTCTGACATCAGATTTTTTTAGTAGATGCCGTACATTTGCTTCATGACTTGTGGAATTTCTAATATATATATATATATTTTTTTGTTTATGATTTAATTATTAATTTAAAAATTGTTTTCGAATATTGAATTACTTGTTATTTTTCTACGAATATAATAATTTAAAGGTTAATTCTTCGATTGAGAATTGTAGAAATGGCGAAGGAACGAAGCGTATAAAGCGCACAATACTTGATTTTTTCACAAAAATCATGGACTTTATCTTTGATTTTAATGAATATATTGATTTAATCGAATTTATTCTTAAGTATATTTTACTTATAAAAATAAATAATAGCCAATATAATTCGATTTTTTACTTATATTTAATAGAAACGACCGATAAATTTGTAGATATAATCTAATGAATGAAGTGCAATAAATTTTTATATACAGGCCTACTACTATATAATATTTCATATAGAAAAAGCATAGATCTAATTTATATTTTTAAGTATTTATATGAGATTTGGTAGGCCTATGAGAATTTTTATCAAATTTTTAATTTGATATATTATCTTTACTATTTTAACTTCGTGTTTAATGAATTGTTCTATATAATAATTATGAAATTAATTATAAACGAAACGTGTAAAATTATAACAAAATTAAAGTTCCCAATTTAATTGTATTTCCTAAACTGTTTAAGTAGCTTTGGGCTCTTTAATTTGTGTACAAATGCCTCATTAATCTGAGTAAAAAACCTTTCAAATTTCTCTCGAAAGACTTTCTAAACTAGCTTTTTTTATGTGAAAATTATAAAAATAAGTCCTTAGAAAAATATAAAACGTAAAAATATCAAGTTTAGAGCTTATAGAATATAAATTCGAATTAAATTCGATTAAAACTTAGAAATTAAATGTACATACAGAACGTGATGTGAAGTGTAATAATTAGAATATTTTCTATTAAATTAGATACTTATAAGATTGATAAGATTTCTCTGTCTTGTGTCTATGTAGGTGTGGTTCCAGAATAGAAGAGCCAAATGGAGGAAACGAGAAAAAGCCTTGGGCAGAGACAGTCCAAATTATACGGGAAGCGGCGAACCACTGTTGGCTGCCAGGAGCGACTTGTACTCGACACCCCCACCTCTACACGTTGGTAACGCTGCTGGTTCTCTATCGCTAGGACCGTCCGATCAGTTGTGGGCATCGGCATTACACACATCATCCCTATCTGGTCTCAGCACGCCTCTAGGACTGGGCCATATATTAGCGCTACACGGTACATCGGGCATCCCTCACGCCTTTCCACCTACAGCATCTCCTAGCACCGCCTGGTCTAAGGGGGTTGGTCCTCTCAGTTCTGCCCTACTTTCCATCTACATGTTAAATTCCGGTGTCGGTACTTCGACAACGTCATCCAGTTTGAGCCCGAGTGGACCACCTCCTCCGCCTCCTACATCCACTCTAACAAAATCGGGTTTTCTTCCCACATTGTGCAGCACATCGTTCTCCGGAGCTCCCGTTACTCCCGGTTATCTAGGACTCGCTAATATTGGAAAATCGGCATCATGCTCCAGTTTGGAACTACTACGGCTTAAGGCGCGTGAACAACAATCTTCTCCACCCCCTGCCACATCCAGGTCGGACAGTAGCCTAAGAAATACTAGAGAAATGGCCGAGTTACAACGCACGTGTATTTGAAAAATATTCCATACATTTCTTTTGTATATTCTGATGAAGTTAAAAGTAAAACTTTCGACTGAATAAACAGTTCTAAGAAACACACTTTAATGGACTATTTACACATATATATATTATATATAAAATTCTATGGCCAGAAGAGCACAGACTACTTGTTAATAAGTCCCTTCTGGTAAATAATGTGTTAATTTGCTCATCGGGAATTTACGTTTCTCCGATTGACTTTGATGTTCGTGACTTAAAAAAAAAAAAAAATTAAAAAATGTGGAAAAATAATA